ATTCACTGACCTTTAACCCTGAAGATTGGTGCACAGACTGTTGGTCACCGTAGCAACGTAGACAATCTTGCCTAGCTAGTAGCTAACGAAAAGACAAAGAGAGAGATTTAAGACAAACATGGATAATTTGGAGACGGTTAGACTTACTTGCATTTATTATCACTCCAACTGGTTTCCTGATTCGTTTAATCTGCACAGAGAAGCTCCCAAACACTAAAAAGTTGCAAAGTTGAAGTCATTTTCTCGTTTGCCAGCTTCTTGTTCAAATTGTCCCGTTCCACCTTAACTGGATGCAGCAATTACGTTCTGGTGCCTCAGACACCATTTAAGGTGGAACATTTTACAAGAAACTATTCCAGGAAAAGTTTCCTGCTGGAGACGTGAGAAAAGTGGCTATAGCTGACCTAAAGCTTAAAGCAGAGCAAGATAAGTGTGTTTTCGTTTATATTTTTTAATCTATACTAGTACATCAGCAAATACTGAGACATATTTACAGCCAAGATGATAAAATGAACATAAAATGTTGTGGCTCCTAAAGTTGATTTTTGTTGAAAGGACAAAATGGCTCTTCTTAACATTTGGGTTGCCGACCCCTGATTTTAGATGTTCAGGCTGCTACATCACTTGGACAGAGAACACCAGTGCAATGGATGGGAAGCTGGTTTCTTATGTAAGTTGGACACTTTCTGATCTATCAACAAAACGGCTACAAACCAAACAAGTAGTTTTTTTTCTGTTTTTTAAACTACACTCTTAAAAGTAAAAGCTTTGCATTGGATTCTTTGGAGCAGTGCCACAGAAGAACCTTTCAGTGGATGGTTCTTTAAAGAACCGTTTGTGTAAATGGTTGTGTAAACTGGCGAATGTGAAAAACCTTCAAGTTACACAATGAAAAGGTTCTATACCAATTAAACGTTTCCTAGAACTATTTAGGAACCAGACTAGGTGTTTGTTCAGATCTCAAACTCAGTTACTCTACACAGTGAAACTGTACAGAATGCAGTCTTTGCTGAGCTTGGGGTGCCAAGACTAGCTAAAATTACAAAGTATTTATAAAATAATCTGCTAAAATGACTGCAGCACAATGGCCTCAAGCTCTACGTCCAGTATCATGAAGATGCTGACCCGTCCTCCAGCACATTTTTAAGTTAAAGTTCTGGATAATCTGTGAAAAAGTGTTGAAACATTGAACACTGTCTTACCGTCAGAGTTTATTAAAATGTATAACCACATACATGGGAATATTCCGCCGGCCCCAGGTCTACTTTTCTATGTTTCGGAGAAAGAAGACAGACCTAAGCTAACTTTGTGTCTGTGAAACTCTCTGGCCTCAAGTTCCCTTTGCCAGTCTGTGGATCAAAGTTTGTCTAAGTTTAAAATTAAAAGCGTTCATGAAAAACACCTTGGAGAAAAGGAATGAGCACGAAGTGAGGAGAGTGACAACACAACAAAGACAACTTCACTCTCTAAGCTATTCCTCGTTCCTCTGAGGGTGTTTACTAACCCAGCTCCGGCCTACACCTTAGCGGATATTTTGATTTGATTTTCAAATGGAGGGGCGGGTTCAAGTTTGGCGGGATTCTTTGATAAATATAAGGAATGAAAAAAACAAATATAATTATTAATTGCTGAGACAAATTTGCACCTTAATGAATTAGGTATCCTGGTTGTTCTTAGTGGAATCTCTGTGGGCAGGCATAATGACTAAGTCCTGGTTGCTTTTGAGAAGCCATGATGTCACTACATTTTAGCAGGCTTGAGGGTCTTTTTATACTGCCCCTATTTTCTTACACTGTGTACGTAGTACGGTAAAAGTCAGAGACCAAAACAGTCATTCAGTACAAGTTATTCACGTTTCAGCTGCAAGAAAAAAGCCGAAATTTGTAACATACCTGATAGAAAATTTAACAGAAGCCTCAACAACTATTATATATAATATAATATGATTATATATAATATAATCCACACTTTTATTACAGGTTCCATTTTTTTTTTTCAGGAAAGTTTCAGTTTTTTGACGTCATTTTAAAGGACTCCTTTGTAAGTGCTTTGTAAACACCTACCCAGTTCAATCTCACCTACCAGTTCAATCTTAGACATTGCATTTTTTCCTCACAATCCAAATAATCCTTGTAAATCTACAAAATCCTTTTATTTTGGTGCTCTAAAATGTTCTTCCTTGTCTCAGTAATGGCCTCTTGCCAGCCACACATCCTTTCAGACCCGTAGCGATGAGTTGTCTTCTCACAGTGGAAGGATGGACAGAAACACCTGTGGTTTTTTCAGATCTGAAGCAACAGTGGCGCTTGATTATAATATATCTACAGTGACTGTGACCAGTTCATTTTTACTCTCATCTGACCACAGTGACCCACCTAAATGGCACGAGTTTGACACATTCCAGGTTATTCCTCTGTAGCTAATTGGGATTTCTTCTGGCAAACCATCCAAAAAGATAGTTGACATAGAGGTGTCAGCAGTCTTGACCACAAGATCAAACCTGTCCTTGTATTTCTTTAACTGTCCATTTTGTATGTTTCTTTGGACTTTTCCCATCCTTCTTAAAGTGCTTGGGGAGAAGATGGGCTGAGTCCTCTTCCTGCCAAATTATCTACTGTTCCAGTGAAGCTGAGTTATTGTGTAATTAGTATTTCATAGGGTGGCTTGTGCTGTACATGATTGCATTTAGGAAGATTGGTGGACTACTTGTGAGTCTAAACTCATGAAAATGTGATTGTAAGTTTTCTTGAACAGAAAAAAGACACTCTATAACGAAAAATGATGATGAAGATGCTGATGCTGATGAATTACTTGCCAGTCTCAGCATAGGAAGATTACCAACCAATCCAAGCACTGGAGGCAGAACACTCCTAACCAGTCCTAAGGCAGGGAGCAGGACACTACTAACAAATCCCAGGTAAAGAGCCAGGACACTACTAGCCAATCCTACTGGACAAAGTAGGACTCTACTAACCGATACTACTGGGGCAGCCAGGACACTAAAAGCCAGTTCCATTGGAGACAGGGCACTACTGGCCACTGCCAGAATAGGAGGAGGGTCAATACTAACAAAATCCAGCACAGGGAGTGGGACATTTCTAATCAGTTCTTACACAAAAGGCAGTTCACAACTAGCCAGTCCTACTGAAGGAAGGCAGGACACTTGAATAATAGCCAAATGTATTTCATAAAGCAGGATTTCTCAGTTACATGGCTAACAAGCCAAAAGTCAGGATTGTTCAGAAGGAACGTCACTAACCTCATCTTCTGTTGGACAGGTTTAACGTGCAGTTTAAGTCATCTGGTTATTTGGTATAGCCTGCTTTGTGAAACACCCCCTATTCCTAGAGCACTGAAGGGGGACACCAAAACTAGCTCAGGCAATGTGACACCACAAACCAATCCCTAGCAAAGGAGGCAGTTTATTACTAGCCAATCCTCTTGCAGAAAGCAGTTAGCCAGTCCCATTGCAGGAAGCAAAGGATTACTAGCCAATGCCATTGTGGGAGGCACAACACTACTAGCCAATCCCATTGCAGGAGGCAAAGGACTGCTAGCCAATGCCATTGCTGGAGGCAAAAGACTACTGGCCAATCCCATTGCAGGAGGCAAAAGACTGCTAGCCAATCCCATTGCATGAGGCAAAATATTACTAGCCAATCCCATTGCAGGAGGCAAAAGACTACTGGCCAATGCCATTGCAGGAGGCAAAACACTTCTAGCCAGTTCCACTGTGGGAGGCAAAAGACTGCTAGCCAATCCCATTGCTGGAGGCAAAATATTACTAGCCAATCCCATTGCAGGAGGCAAAATATTACTAGCCAATCCCATTGCAGGAGGCAAAAGACTACTGGCCAATGCCATTGCAGGAGGCAAAACACTTCTAGCCAGTTCCACTGTGGGAGGCAAAAGACTGCTAGCCAATCCCATTGCAGGAGGCAAAACACTTCTAGCCAGTTCCACTGTGGGAGGCAAAAGACTGCTAGCCAATCCCATTGCGGGAGGCAAAAGACTACTGGCCAATCCCATTGCAGGAGGCAAAGGACTGCTAGCCAATCCCATTGCAGGAGGCAAAACACTACTAGCCAGTTCCACTGTGGGAGGCAAAAGACTGCTAGCCAATCCCATTGCGGGAGGCAAAAGACTACTGGCCAATCCCATTGCGGGAGGCAAAAGACTACTGGCCAATCCCATTGCAGGAGGCAAAAGACTACTGGCCAATCCCATTGCAGGAGGCAAAACACTACTAGCCAGTTCCACTGTGGGAGGCAAAAGACTGCTAGCCAATCCCATTGCAGGAGGCAAAAGACTACTAGCCAATCCCATTGCAGGAGGCAAAAGACTGCTAGCCAATCCCATTGCATGAAGCAAAGGACTGCTAGCCAATCCCATTGCTGGAGGCAAAAGACTGCTAGCCCAACCCATTGCGGGAGGCAAAAGACTACTGGCCAATGCCATTGCAGGAGGCAAAAGACTACTAGCCAATCCCATTGCATGAAGCAAAGGACTAATAGCCAATCCCATTGCTGGAGGCAAAAGACTCCTAGCCAATCCCATTGCAGGAGGCAAAACACTACTAGCCAATCCTATTGCATGAAGCAAAGGACTACTAGCCAATCCCATTGCTGGAGGCAAAACACTACTAGCCAGTCCCATTGCAGGAGGCAAAACACTACTGGCCAGTCCCATTGCAGGAGGCAAAAGACTACTGGCCAATCCCATTGCAGGGGTTTGTCAAAGCATTGGCTCGTGGCCGGTTGGCTTCCTCTCCGCAGCGCGGGCGCGTAGTTGCGCAGCGAGCCAATCAGCACGCCCTTCTCAAGCGGCTTGGAGACGCGAACCGCGACGCGCCTAAAAACTTTCTCAGTGCTCGCTGGTCCGCCTGCTCCGCTTCTCCCAGCACGGCGATGCGGGTCGCCGCGCGCGTCCCTCCGTACGATGCCCAGAGCGCCTGACGGAACCGCTCCGCTCCTGCGAGGACTCCCGAGCCGGGCTCCATCATGCCTTACTCTGCCAAGCTGCTGCTCCTGATCCTCTGCCTCGCTGCGCTCGCCGAGGGCGGCAAGCATAAGAGCAGGAAACGGAGGTGGTCAGCAAACCTGGAAACCCACAAGCACGGAACGTATGTACTGATTTGTTGCTACCGGTTACTGCCGCTTTTTAGTCAGGCTTGCTTGAATGTTACTGCTGGACGCTGGTCACTCTTTTCTTGTTTGAATTCAACTCTTTTGGAGAATCATCTCAGAGCGCTGTCCATGGTGCGATAGACGCTGGCCGAGCTATACAGCGCTGTCCATGGTAACAGATGCGCTGTCAATGGTCACTTTACCGAGCGCTGTTCATGGAGTTAAAGGGGAAAGTTCAACAAAATAAAATGGTTAAGATTTAAACAAAGTCATTCAGAGAGGTTTTGTGTAAATTCCTCTGTTCTAGAGAAACTTACCGAGTCAGAATTGTTTACAATGTTGGTGATAGGAACCAGACGTCCACCTCTCAAAGCTCTCTCACAGAAAGTTATTTCATGGAGTGGTTATGAATACATTGCCTGATGCCTGAGATACTGTTTTATGTTAGTTTTGTGATCAGGTTTTGGCCTAAAACGTCTTGTTAATCCATTTATTTTAATCCGTTCGTGGTGGAGGGGTACGTGCAGGGTTGTTGTGAGGCAAAGTAGTCCCCAAAGAAAATATATTTTTTTCAGATTTTCCACTATTTTGCCATCATCAGCATCAGTGTTGGCTCACTGGTGGTTTTGAATAGTAAATTAAATGGCTAAATCTGTGTTGTAGACACAGTGACCCCTGGTTCCTATCACCACCACTGTAAAGAAATCAGTCTGTAACTTTCTCTACAATGGACCATTATACATCAAACCACTCTGAAAGACTTTGTTTACATCACAACATCAGAATTATGCAAAAATGTAGAAAAGTTGGTGGAATTCCCCTTTAATGACATTGTTAATGGAGCTAAATGCACTATCCATGGTACTGAAGCCTCTTCCAGTGTTGCAGGGTGCTGTCCATGGTACTGAACATGGTAGCTGTCAACCACCAAACTGATGTAAAGCTTCTTAACTGAGCCCAGATGCATAATTACAGTGTTTATTCTGGCGGGCGCGCGGTTCTGCGCCCCAATCCAAACATTTGTTCTTGCATGTCAGTAACACAGCTTCAAATACTAAAACACCCCCTTGATTCATCCAGGATGCTCTGGATTTTGGGGGGCGTTTATGCACATACTGGATGCGCTGCTTGCCTGGTTAGTTTGAAAATGACCTCACGAGGTGCTGCATCAACACATTTCATCTATTTAGTATTACGTTCCTGTGCTGTAGACATGCAACTGGCAGTAACTGTTTTTTGTAGTTCTAACTTTGAATAGAAAAAAGTTATAAGATAATATAAATGTACATTTCTGTTGTATTTTCCATTTCAAACATCTTATAACCTTTTTGTTTTGAGGAGAACCTTGATTCTAATTTAGCTGGAAAAGCCTAAGGGAGCCGTCGGAATAGAAATAAAATGAGCCCGGCTGGAAATAAACATGCATTTATGAGAGCGTTGTTTCATGCCAGAGAGGAGCTGCGTGTCTTTGCTTATTCGGAATGACAGCCCTCAGGGTGATTTTCATGTGCAATATCATGCAGTAACATTCGGGGCAGCCAGTGGGATGGCAGAGAGAGATGAAAGTCATTTTTTGATCATGACACATGGCCGTTTCAGACGGCTTTCTGATGATTTAGGTGCACACCATGACTTCCATGTGTGGTAAACAGACAGACGGCACACGACACTCTTAATAGTGTTATAACAGGGCACTGTTGATGAGTGAAATGGTGACATTAAGCTCTGTGTTGTACTAAAGTGGAAAACATGTCTTGCAGCCCTCTATCCAAAAAAGTGGTGGATGGAACCAAGACACGCAAGGTGAAAACGGACCACCTGCTGCGGGTGGAAGATCATGATTTTACCATGAGGCCAGCTTTTGCAGGTAATTTAGTGAGTTTATTTGTATTGTGAATGAATGAATGAATGAATGAAAATATATATATATATAGGGCAGCACGGTGGCGCAGTGGCGCAGTGGGTAATGCTGTCGCCTCACAGGGAGACAGGGAGAATGGCCTGTGTTCGATTCCCGGCCGGGTGACCAGGGTCATTTCTGTGTGGAGTTTGCCTGTTCTCCCCGTGTCTGTGTGGGTTTCCTCCGGGTACTCCGGTTTCCTCCCACAGTCCAAAAACATGCAGTTAAGCTAATTGGACTTGCTAAATTGCCCCTAGGTGTGAATGTGTATGTCTGTCTATATATAAAACCTTATATCTCAAAAAACATACTTTACTTTTAATGTAAGTCAATGGAACCAGATGGTTTTCCAAGTCATTTTGGGCCATTTCTGTTTGTCTGTTCATCATGAAATTTACACACAATGTAAAGGGCAACAGGCATTTCCAAGTTTTGTCAAAAACTGAAAAACAACAAAAATGGAGATTTGAGGTTTTGTTCTGACAGTAGAGATAAATGTGTATAAATATGTAAATATGTATGTATGTGTGTGTATATCTTATACAGTGATGTTATGTAGTACGTAAACATTTTTTGAAGTTTACCACTTACCTGGTCCACACATCACATTCTGTGATGTCACAAAAACCTAACACGTTTACATACAGTGCTGTGCAAAAGTCACAATTTATTTATGGAATTTTCACTCAACTATAAAGTACAAGTTATTTAATTTTTAGTACAAGTTACTTAATTTACTTTCAAGTTGCAATCAACTGAATATCTACTAAATTGGCCATAATTAACTCTAAACCTGGTCCAAATCCTAACCCTAACCTTAACCTCAACCCAAAACCTAAACCCAACCCCCACCCTGGTCCTAGCCTTAGCCCTGATTTCCTAACCCTAACCCCACCACTGTTTAGAATCAACTGAGTTTCAACACACAGTTTGTTGACAATGTGAACATCTGTAGATAATCAATAGGGGACTATGGTGGACTATTCAAATAAAGTGAGACCAAAGTTATTAATATTCAGGAGATTCAATTTAATATAATCCACTCATATAAGGAGAAATTCAGGGAGTTTCCAAAACTTTTCAAAAACCGATTAAAAGACACAAAGAAAATGGGACTCCTAACAACCACCTGCAATACCTAGTAGACCATCAAAACTGTCCAGTGGGAACCAGTAAGAACAGAGGTCATTAACATATAGCAGTCCTAAAGGTGCAGTAAGAAAACGAGTCTATTTAATTAGTTAAATGTTGTGTAAAAATGAAACTGTTGTGCTACATAAACCCACACAAAGTGGCAGAAAGAAAGAAAAACACCAGAAATGTAGGATATGGGCCCTGTAAAATAAACCATAGGGTCAGTTTCAGCCAGTTGGCGGACTGTGCTGACTGTGCTGTCCACTAGGGGTCATGCAGCTGTCGAGATGGGTTTTCTTGCCAAGAAGTCATTAAGTAATATCTCAGATATAAGATTGTGTCCTTAGATCAGATGAGACCAGCTGTCGTTCCATAGAAATAACAGCTGCTGAGACATTGTGTGGAGTTAATGTGTCTCCTCAGTTGGTGTTAAAGCTCTTGTGGCAGTGAGGGACGATACCTGTTACACACAGTGAGGAGCGTCTGCAGAGCAGATCTGACAGCATTAGGAAAAAAGCTTCATCTTACTGTCAGTTACTGTACGTGTGAAGTTCAGTCCTGTGGGGCCGAAAACACACTGCAGAAATAGGGAGAGAGGGAAATGAAGGATATGCAGCTCTCTCTCTCTCTCTCTCTCTCTCTTTTCTCTCTTTCTCTCTCTCTCTCTCTCTCTCTCTCTCTCTCTCTCTTTCTCTCTCTCTCTGTCTCTCTCTCTCTCTCCTTTCTCTCTCTTTTTCTCTCTTTCTCTCTCTCTCTCTCTCTCTTTTCTCCTTCTCTGTTCTCTCTCTCTCTCTTTCTCTCCCCTCTCTCTCTCTCTCTCTCTCTCTTTCTCATTTACCTTTCATTTATCTCTCTCTCACTCTCTCACTCACTGTCTTGGTCTCTGTTTTCCTTCTCTCTTCTCCCTCTCTCTCCTCTCTCTGTCTTTTCTCTTTCTCTCTGTCCCTCTCTCTCTCTCTCTCTCTCTCTCTCTCTCTCTCTCTCTCTCGCTTTCTCTTATCTCTTTCTCTGCTCTCTCTCTCCTCTCTGTCACTTCTTACTTTCTCTTCTCTCTTTTTCTGTTCTCTCTCTCTCGCTTCTTTCACCCTCTCTTGCTCATCTCTCTCCTCTCTTTCTTACTCTCTCTCCTCCCTCTTGCTCTTTCTCTGTCTTTCTTGCACTTATCTTTCTCTTCTCTCTTTCTCTCTCTGGCACTCTTCTCTCTCTCTCTGTGTCTTTCTCTCTCTCCTTTTCTTTCTCCTTCTTTCTCTAGTTTTTTCTCTTGTGCTCTCGTTCTCTCTTTCCAGTTCTTTGCTTTCTTTCTCTTTCCTTTCTCCCTCTCTCTTTTTCTTTTTCCTCCCTCCTTTTTTCTGTCTGTCATCTCTCTTTCTCACCATATCTTTCTCTTCCTCTCTCCAAAGCATGCCAAGTTCCCCCTTTTATCTCTCTTCTCTTTCTTTCTCCTTCTCTCACGCACACTCTCTCTCTCTCTCCAAAGCATGCAGGTTTCCCTCTCTTTCACCATCTCTCTCATTGACATTCTCTCTCTCTCAACTTCTCCCTTGCTTTTCTCTCTCTCCACCCTCTCTGTCTCATTTCTCTTTTTTCTTCTCTCTCTCCTTCTTCGCTCTCTTTTCTTTTGCTTTTCTCATCTATCTCTCTTCCTCTCTCTTTCATCAGAGATCATTCTCTCTCTCTTTCTCTCTCTCTCTAATGCTTTGCTTTTTTCTCTCTTTCTTCTTTCTCCCTCTCTCTTTTTCTCTCTCTTCTCCTTCCTTTTTTTCTGTCTGTCCTCTCGCTCTTTTTCACAATCTCTCTCTGTCTCTTTCTCTCCTTCCTTCTATTTTTTCTTTTTCTTTCCCTCTTACTGTTTTTCTCTCTCCAATCCCTTGCTTTCTTCCTCTCTTTCTTTTTTGTCCTTCTTTCTTTTTCTCTCCTCTTTTTTCTGTCCGTACTCTCTCTCTTCCTCTCTTTCTAAATCTCCAAAGCATGCCAAGTCCTCTTTTTTCTCCTTCTCTTTCCTCTCTAACTCTTACTGTCTCTCTCTCTCTCCAAAGCGTGCAGCTTTTCCTCTATTTCTCCATCTCTCTTGTTCTCCTTCTCTCCCTCTCCCTCTCTCTCCCTCTCTCTCTTTCCACTTTCTTCTCTCTCTCTTTCTCCACTCTCTCATCTCTCTCTCTTTCTTCTTTCCTCCTTCTTTTTATTTATCTCTCTTTATCTCTCATTCTCTCTCTGTTTCTTTCTGTCCTTCCTTCTGTTTTTCTCTCTTTTTCTTTCCCTCTAGCTCTTTGCTCTCTCTCCAATCCATTGCTTTCTTCCTCTCTTTCCTTTTCTCCTTCTCTCTTTTTCTCTGTTTCTTACTCCTCTTTTTTTCTGTCTGTCCTCTCTCTCCCTGCATCTCTCTCTTCTTCTCTTTTCAAATTTTCAAAGCATGCTCTCCCTTTTTTTCTTCTATTTCTTCTCTAACTCTCAGTATCCCTTTTCCCTTTTATCTCATTCTCATTCCCTCTCTCTCTCTCTCTCTCTCTCTCTCTCTCTCTCACTCTCTCCCTCTCTCTCTCTCTCTCTCTCTCCCTTTATTTGACATGCACGGTCTCGCGTCCAGAAATAACGAAGCGCCGAGCCTTTGCCCGTCTCTTCTCATTCAGACAGAAGGAGGAGGTTTCATGTTGGGAGCAGAGGGGCCTTTTGAACGTGTCTGAGATCATTTGGCTGAAGCTGTCCCAGTTGCACTGTTTTGCAGCTTCTTCAAAAGGTGCGGCGCGGTGCATCGCGCTCCTCTAATGAAAGCTCCTTACCAGGGCCGCTCCGAGCGTGCGGGAGGAGCCGTTATCGCTGCGAAAGGCCGCGCGCCAGCAGGGGGTCTTGGTACGGGGCGGAAAATAGCAGGAACTCAACCGCCAAATCCCATTGGAGAGAAGGCGCTATTGTCCCCGCGCGCTCCCTAAACCGCTTTGTGGTGTGCCCTTATCTGAAAGAGCGAAGGGAAGAAAATGTTTGGTTAAATTTACACTGAACTGCAGCATGTAGGACAACAAGTGCTGTGAAACTCCGAACACTGTAGTGTTCGATTCCAATAGACGTTTCAGTATAAAACTCTGAATTCAAGGTGTTTTTCACCCCTTCACTGCAGTAACAGCATCTACTCTTCTGAGATGGCTTCACACTAGTTGGAACATTGCCATGAGGATTTGATTGCATTCAGCCACAAGAGCATTAGTGAGGTCAGGTACCGGTGTTGGATGAATAGATCACTCCAGATCTTCCCAAAAGTATTGGGTGGTGCTCCATCCTAGTGAACCTCCAGTTCCACTGCTCCACAACCCAGTGCTGGGGGGCTTTATTACCCCTCTTAGAGGTCTGCTTACTGACAAAACTGTGTGTTTCAGTCCAGGTATGGGCCAGTTTTGGACTTGGGTTTAATTTTAAATGAGTAGATATTTTTAAGATATTCAGAGTATTTTTGGAGTAATTTTTGGCCGTTGAATTAAACCACAGATGATGGGTTGTGGGATGTGCTGGGTTGGTGGAAAGATCGCAGCAGGTCTTTCCTCTTGCTTATTAAGCTGACCTGACATATTAAGCTTTTCTATAAGGAGCAGCAGTAGCTAGAGGAATGCTAGCATGTTAAAGCTAATGTTAACAGTTGACCAGAGGAGGGTGGAGGGTGGTTCTCTGTTGGGTATAATCAGAAATTCCACACAAACTTACTGATAATATGGACTGCTAGTGAAGTGGAGACCAGTTCATCCCAGCATGGCATGTTTCGTCACTCAACTCAAGACCTAGTAACAAAGCGAAGCACCGTTAAACTGCTAATATCTGTGATAATCCCTCTCTGTTAGTAAGCGTGA